GTAGTTGCTAGTTTTTTTTTTTGTTTAAAAAAAAAACAAACAACGTCCCGGAAGGGCGGGTGATTGGGCTGGATCTCCAACCTGTGCATAGATCAACGCCCCAAATCGGGGGCCCAAAATATCAAGGACTATAGTCTACAAGGTCTCACGAGCAAATCAAAAGGCAAGAAAAAACAAATAACAATACAAAGTCTGTCTTCGGGCTAACAGGTGCCAGGAAAAGAGGTCTGATATAAGGAAACAGAAACCCTAATCTATTGAAAGCGGAACGATGGATATCCAAGCTGGTCCATTCGAACAAGCGTGCGAAGGTGGAGTGAAGCAGTGTCGGTCTGAAACGTGTGTGTGTCTGGTATGGTGGCGCCAAGGTTGGCAAGGTAGTCAGCAGGTCTGTTCCCCTTACGGAATATGTGCGTGATCTTGTGATGGACAGACCAAAGAAGAGCTCTAATGCGCATAAGTGGGTGTTGAATCTGCCACGAGCCCTGGTGGCCCGAAGTTAGGAGGGTGACGACAGCCGCAACGTCCAGCTCGATCCAAATATGACTAGAGAGGTGGGCAACAATCTGAAGGCCAATCTATAATGCCTGAATCTCTTCGTCGTAACTCGAGGAGGCTTGAAGGGGCGCGTGGAAGGCGGTGATGAGGGCGCCGTTGTGGTCCCGGATCAGGCCTCCTCCTCCGACAGCTCCAGTATGGCGATCAAAAGAGCCATCTGTGTTCAGCTTGACCTAAGGAGAGCCGGGTCGAAGCCAAACAACAGCTCTCGACCAAGGGGCAAGAACATGCGGTGGGGGAGCCACCATGAAGCGATGTGGTGGCGTACATCCTGTCCAGTCTCGGCCTGTGAGCCTGCCCAATGTAATGAGGAGTGAAAGATGTCTCTACCTGCAAAACAATGTGAGAAAACAAAAGAGTAATATCCCTATGCTTCGCACTATTCATCTCCGTCCAGGTGACCCAAAGGATCAGACAAGGTATAAATAGATATAATATCAATAATATTACAAACTAAATAATCAACAACACCGTTACAACAATTATCTTTCAATTATTTGATTTGTCTAACATAAAATAATAAAAAAAAATGAGATTACAAAGACAGAGAAACCATTTCCAAGAACAATTTTCATTTTATTTCACACCAACAAGAAGTCAACAATGTGACACATCCAATTATGTCATAAGCATATTAAAATTAAAATAAGAATTAAGGGATACCACATGTTTCCAAGTACAACAGAGCCATTTTATTGCTTAGTGTAAAGTCTGCCATATGTATCTCAGGTTTTTTTTTTTTTAACCCCAGAAGATAAAAAAGTTTTTATCACTGCTGTGAATACCGTTTTACCAGCAGCAAGTCTGATATTTTATCTTCCTTTCTTGGCGAAAAAGATAGTTGAGAAAGAAGACTGAACGCGCGCACATTTATTATAAGCATCTATATATATATAAACTCCTAATTATCTTAATCCCCAAATGCTCTCATATTTCACCAATTTTCCGTTCACACACTTACGCCGAGGATTTTTCTCTGCTTTCCTTCGATCAATTTCAGTGCTCGATGCATCTGCATAACGCATGGCTGCCGCCGCCCGTGGCGGAGGAGACGAAAAGGGAGAAGCATGCCTTCGCCGGAGTAGTTAATTCCGTCAAGGAGTCTTACAATCCAGAAGATCCTGAATCGGTTTACTCTACTCTGAAATGGGTCTCTGTTATTGATCTGTTGAGTTTTCTTCCCGAAGCTCTTTGATATTTTTTTTTTCCCTCGTAGTCTTATTTGATGCTGGGACTGAATTAATTCTGTTGTTCAATTTTGCTTTGTATTTTATTCGAATTTTGTAGGATCGCTACCTTTTATTATCATTTTCTGTACATCCTTCCTTTGTCATAATTTTCTAGAATTATTCGAATGGAAATTTTATTTGAAGTAGAACGAGTCTACAGTTGGGCATATAAGATAAGTGGGAGAGTCATCCCACCTCAGCGTTTGGTGCAGAGAGCAGCACAATTGATGAAAGTACTGAAGAAGAAAGTACCTTCCTCCTTCTATAAGTGTGTGTGTGTGTGTGTGTGTGTGTTGTGTGCGAAGAGAAATAAAATTCAAGGAAGATTCTTAACTTCTGGTGAATGGTGGTTGAAAATCTGTGGATGATTGCTGTATGGAAGGGATTGCGGTAGCTAGGGGTAAATAAGAAAATCCAAAAGGAAGTGATAAAAGTAGGCAGAAAGTTGGTTATAGTTCAGACCCATGGTGACTAGGAATTACAATGGAATGGGAGATAACTGACATTCCCAGAGATGGTCTTTCCTGTTCTTTTATGTAGAACTTGCATGGACTTTTCATTCTTCTAAGTTAGGAAACACAGGGAATGGAAAGAAAGATGAGTCCAATCCAAAAACAATTTGAGATTAGTTATGCAACTGATGTCAACATGGGGAGACGGTGCCAATTGCCAACATAAGGGGACTTGTGTTTTTAATAATTGCTCGTTATCTCTTCACAGCCTCCCTACAATATTTTTTTTTTTTGTACTCAAGATTCAAGATATTATTAGGGCCACGTTTCATGCACCAAGTGGCTTATTCTCGGACATCTGCTGGTTGATGCTTGTTCGATCCTTAATAATTGCGAAATACAAGATTCTGCAACGTCCAATACCATATTTTACTAGAAGCAGTCAAGGACTTAGGGAGTCTGTGGTAAAAGAAGAATCTGTTGCATGTTTTCGGATTCCGTCAGTGATTGTGAATGACATTTGTTTGGTATTGGATTTTAAGGTTCCCAGTTTTGGAGTCACCTTTTCTTTTTCTCCCAATTCTCGTTACATTGCCATTTACTTATGTTCTAATAAAGGGTTAGAGTTGATACATTCACGTTTGTTTGGTCATATATGAGTATCAACATTTATTCTGTTGTTTAATTTTTTAAAATTTTATTTAGTGATCTGTAATCATGTGTTTGTTTGCTCAATATAACATATATCTATTCCTAGCCATTGTTTCACCATTGGTGGGAGTAGATTTACACTGGCTCATTGAGATATTTAAGAAATCATTCCATGTGGTTTAAGCCAAATATAAATAGTCTTTCCAGTCTTTATTAAACATGGGGTCAAATTATTGATGTTGGCAAAGAGGTATATTTGTTAGGCACCAGTGATTCCATATGGATTATTTCTTGTTACTAGCAAGTTTTGCTGTAGTGGGCATCCATTTCTTTAAATTAATGAATTTTTACTCTTCTCGATGATTGGGCAGTTTTGTGAAGGCCAAAAGTGATCTATCTGTTGAGGATGTTACAACCCTTGTAGAAGTTGGATTAGAACTGTTCCATGTCTCAGAGAATAAACTCTATGCTCAGGTTGTTTTCCGTTTAACATGTCCATGAACCGTTTAACATATCCATGAAGAAGTCGCTTTTCATTATTTGCTCTGACGTTTTTGTTTAATTTGTTTAAATTAGGTTAGATGGGGAAACATCTTGGTGAAACTGTTGAATAAATACAGGAAAAAGTTGTCCTTAAAAGTTCAGTGGAGGCCTCTATACAATATTTTAATTCACACACACTTTACTCGGTAAGTCTGAAAACTTTTCTCTTCTTGTTTTCTTTCTCAGAATACTTGTGCTCGCTGTTCTGAATTGTTTTGCAAAAGTATCAATTATGTTAGACTTTTTTTTTTTTTTTTTCTGGATTTCATGTCAACTTGACCCATAAATATATCTTCAGTTTCTTTATGCATGACAGAATTGTCTTCTCCCTGCTACATTTGTGTATTGTATTAATCTGTGTTCTGTTGTTTGTAAATACTTAAATACTTTTACAAGTTTCACAACTATACACCCATTTCTGATGGTGGAATGTTGGATAGAGATTAAATCTCAACAATAAAAGGCTATCTCTGTCGTGGTTTGTTGTAGTTAAAAGTGAGAAACTTCCCAAAGTGCAGTGCATATAAATTACCTTCAAAGTTGTTGTTACAATATAATGCTCAGTTGTTTTCCTTGTGATCCTTTTCCTGCATATTGCATATAGTATGCATGACAGCATGAGTTAGCTTTTCTTTTTGATTCAGGAATACTGGCCCTGAAGGATGGAGACTAAGACAACGCCATTTTGAGACAGTTACTTCCCTAGTTCGTTCTTGCCGGAGATTCTTTCCTCAAGGTTCTGCCTCTGAGATATGGTCTGAGTTTAGGTAATTTTCTCATTCTGATAGAAAAACTATTTGTGATACACTTTATTCTGCACATATTTTGACAAATGGCGATCCACATCTACAAATTTTGGGTATATCTATGGGAATTCCATTCAAGGAAATGCAGTGATTGTGGTAATGTGGTAATTAGGTAGGGATCATGAAAGAACAATCTCACAAAGCACTAAGATTATAGCCAGTTGTGCATTTTACCTCCCACTGCGGCTCATTGGACTTTTTTAGTTTCCTGTTATGTTTGTCTTTTGTTCTGTGAATTGCAGTTGTAGATGAAATTCTGGAGTTTGTTACTGCATTATGGTTTCATTTTTTACGCACTTGCAATATAATTTTCTCAGGAAATTGTTTGTATTCTGCTTCTACTAGTCTCAACATTTGCTAAAAATACCGCAGTGTGAAATGTTTTTCTCAACAACTGCTACTTTCAAGCTTTAAACCCCAGTCAATTATATTGTTCCAACATATTGATTTGGCTGATAAATCAAGGGTAGTTTAACACTTCGTTTTCGGATGAATCATTCTAGATCCCTGTTGGAAAATCCATGGCATAATGCAGCTTTTGAAGGGGCTGGATTTGTACGGCTGTTCCTCCCTACAAATGTTGAAAATCAGGATTTCTTTAATCCGTAAGGAGTTCAAATTTTTTCTGTAATTTCTTTGTCTGATAATTTTAACAGGATTTTTCTGGGCATTACTAGTTATGTTTTCCTTGCAGTGAGTGGATAAGATTATGTTTAGATCATTGGGCTTCGATACCAAATTGCCAGTTCTGGAACAGTCAATGGGCCTCTGTTACAGCTCGTGTCATAAAGAGCTACCCCTTTATTGAATGGGAGCATTTCTTGCCCGATCTGTTCAGTATCTACTTGAATATATTTGAGGTAAGTTTGAGGATCTTAATTTGTTGTAGCTTTTAGTTTTTTAAAATGTGTTCTGTAATGATTTTGACGTTTGAAGATATAAATCTTCACAATCATTGAGTTACAGTTTTTTCTATATATTTGACCAACTTCGAAAAAGATTCATTACTTTAGAAAGTATATGACATGAGGCTACATTGCAGCAACCAAACTGCAGACTAAATGATTGTTTTCTCCTTTTTTCTGAAGTAAATATTGTGAATCAAACTAAAACATTTGCCATGGTGTGTTGTGAGAAAGATGCTTTCCATGTGATGTATTTAATTCTGGGGTACGCGTATTTGTATTTGCTTTTTCGTTCTAACATGTGATACTGTTGATCTATGGATTTTTTAACTCAAGACTCAAGAGTATACTCTTTCTGCGGCACTTATCTCTTTTCTGGGCAGTTTGTGCTAGTTGTACTCATCTGTTGGTTTTCTCTTGTATAACAAATTGGCCATGGTTTACGTGGCATTGAACTTATTAAACAAAAACTTGTAGTGAGAAGTTGAGTTCGAGATCAATAATGTTGTCACAAAGAAGACAGTTTTGTACATTCAAGAACTCACTGATACAAACTGGAAAGTGGGATATCTATACAGGTTCCGGTGGCTAATGGGAGTGGATCATATCCTTTCCCTACAGATGTTCCTAGAAACACGCGGTTTTTGTTTGCAAATAGAAGTATCACACCATCAAAAGCAATTGCTAAATCAATAGTAAGAGTTAACTATCTATATCAGATCCACCTAAATCCATCTGCGTTACTCTATTTTTGGTCAACATCGTCCCACTGTCAATGCAGGTGTATCTATTGAACCCTGGTAGCTCTGCACAAAGGCACTTTGAGGAATTGGCCAACCTCTTAGAACAGTTTGTTTCGCAGAATGTTTTTCGCATCACTTTCTGTGTTTTACATTCTTGGTTATTAATGTAATGCGTCCATTTTCTGTTATTTTAGATATTACCATCCTTCAAACGGGGGCCGGTGGACGTACTCATTGGAGCGGTTTCTGTTCCACTTAGTGGTTAGCTTCCGGAAACGCTTGCAACATGAGCAATTGTAAGAGATACTCCCTATGGACAAATAAAACCTCAAAATATGTTGATTTAATTTCTGAGGAGGACATTGTTTCAGGAACAATACTGTCAGCAAGCAATCTGAAATATTCCTGGCAGAGTCTGACAGGGGTTCTTTTGTGAAAACTGTCCTGAAGTTTATCGACCGTGGCCAGTATAGTAAAAATGAGCAGCTCTCTGAAACTGTTGCGTCCACAACTTCTATCTTGTCATATGTGGAACCATCTTTGGTTTTGCCATTTATGGCGTCTAGATTCCACATGGCTTTGGAGACTGTAAGTTTTATATGAAACATTTTCCATTAAGTGATGGTTTATTGGCTTGCATATTATCGTTTAACTATAAGAAGCTTCATACCAAATCAAGTTATATGGGTGAAAGCAGTCCAACATGAACAAGCTGTGTTGTTCCTTTTTTTCCTTTTCGTTTTTCTTTATTTTTTAAAATATTTTTAACTTTATTTATTTATTTGTTTATTTTATTTACTTACGTCTCCCGACCATTTTTTATACATATAGTTGACTTTGGATGTATAATCAGATGACAGCCACCCACCAGTTGAAGAGTGCCGTGACATCTGTGGCATTTGCTGGAAGATCACTGATATTTAGCTCTTTGTTGGACTTGCCTATGGAGTCAACTATGACCAGTGGATATGATTCATATGCTGATCTTCTAGTGATCTCTTTGTCTAATGCTTTACTTGGTATGGATGCCAATGACCCACCCAAAACCCTGGCAACCATGCAACTGATCGGATCTCTATTCTCTAGTGTGAGGTTCCTTAGATTGAGACATATGTTTAATTATTTAGAATTGTTTGGGATTTAGCTCATCATTGTCTGTGTGCAGATGTCTTCTGTGGATGATAATATAAATGTGGGGTCGTTATTCTCATCATTTCACTTTTCGGAATGGCTGGACGAGTTCTTGTGTCGTCTATTTGCTTTACTTCAACACTTGGAACCTAGTAGTGTACTGTAAGCAGTAATATGATATTTTGCTTTCTTTATCCTATTTCTATTTTGTATGCACTTTCACTTGTTCAGTATAGCTACTAAAAATAGTGTTAGATATCGATTTTCATTTCAGTTAACTTAATAATTGGGAATTGGGATATATCTAGGGTTAGGACTCTATTTAATTAGACTATCGTTGATACTTAGGATTATCATTTGTTGAATTGAGATTGTCGGCCTTAGGCTTGCGCAGAAAGTTCCTTACTGTGCTCGCTCTTGGGACAGGATTTTCCCGTTTGTTTCTTTCTTAATTTAGTTAAATATATTTCAATTTTGTTTTTTCTTATACCCTACATCCTATCAAATAGGCTACATCCTCTCTTAGGTCATGAAACTGGGAGTGACAAATAAGTATTCCTGCAGGAATGAAGGCACTCATACACCAGCCTCTTCCGGGACTTTCCTTGTGGAGGAGGGTCCATACTACTTCTGTATGCTGGAAATATTGCTCGGCAGACTCTCAGATACACTCTACAAACAGGTTGTGCTGGAGATGAACCTATTAATTATTTTATGGTATATTTTTTATTTGTTTTGGACGGACATTGTGAACTTGTGAATCTTAACAGGCACTTAAAAAAATTTCAAAGTTTGTCTTGGCAAATATTCTTCCTGGAGCAATTGCAGAAGTTGGACTACTTTGTTGTGCTTGTGTTCACTCAAATCCACAAGAGGCAGTTGCTCAACTTGTCAAACCAATTTTGGAGTCAGTAATTTCTGCTTTGAAAGCTGCACCGACCTCTGGTTTTGGAACTAGATCAACTTATGTCTCTTCCTCAATCAAGGTTCTCCAGTAAACACATTAGTTAGATATAAAATCTGGCACCTACTAGGATATTTTATAAGTTTCTAGTTCCTTTTTTCTTGTACAGGAAAAATCAACCTTGTCTCCAGCGCTAGAGACTGCAATTGAGTATAAGTTGAAAGTACTTTCTGTTGCGATCTGTTATGGAGGTCCATCACTTATCCAATTCAGGGACCAATTCAAAGAAGTTATTGCTTCTGCCTTTGATTCGACATCTTGGAAGGTATTGTCTCTTCTAGACTGCTGATGCATATGTGCCTAATTAGTTGGATAAACACCTGTGAGGGAATTGTGCTAAATTTTGTCCTATATAACTTATGTGATAATTTGGATTAATCTTTTCCACTGTTCACGTTTCTTCACCATATAAAATCTTTTCATGATGTGTTGATCCTATACATCCATTGGATTCTCAACTGAAATCTTATTATTTTGATTATAGTCCAATTTTTAGTACCAGGATCTAAGAAAAAATGAAAATTTTGATGTTGAGGTTACATCATGTAAATGTTGTGCATGATACTATCAAGTAGAGAAGTGGACAGGATGGAAGATCATTTCTGCTGTTGATGTTATCTTACCTGCCAATGCACATAGAAAATATTATTTATTCTCTTGAGACTGTGTTGGCATTTTGTCTAGAGATAGTAGTATTTTTTTAACTCCCATATTGAGGAATACATGATCTTCTTTGTGAAGTGTACTCCATTAGACCCATATAGCCAGACAGCCTGAGATTTCCTTTATTTGTTATCTTAAGCGTATGAACTAGAAACATACATTAATCCAATTTACCGAGTGGAGGTTCTTTTATCCCATGGATTATTACATTATACATATGGATACCTCATGTGGTTGACACGATTACTTCTGTGTGATAAGTTGATTAATATGACTTGTTTGGGATATGTGCATGCTAATATCTGTGTCACTGGGAAAGGGAATTCCATAAGCATTCTGATATTGGTTTATTCTTGAATCAAATTTCATCATGCCATCACTTCTCCAATTTTGCAGGTTAATGGAGCTGGTGATCACGTTCTCCGTTCTCTTTTAGGAAGCCTTGTTCACTATTATCCTGTCGACCAGTACAAGTATTTCTTGCTCCGTTTTTTGTTGATTTTCTAAGCCATTTTGCACTATCACATGATATCATGTGCATGCATGCAAACATGAATCTTTCTGATATGTAACTGTATATCTTGTCTTATTAGGTGTGTTACCCATCATCCTTTTGCTGCTTCACTAGAGCAATGGATTGATACGAAGGATTTTTCGCTCGATAAGCCAGCGATGGGACCAAAGTGGCATGTCCCTACAGAGGAAGAAATTAATTTAGCAAATGAGCTACTTATGCTGCACTTTGAATCTGCGCTTGATGACCTGCTAACAATCTGCAGATCCAAGATTCATTCAGATCCAGGTATAAATGGATGCATGCCTTCTCAAAATCTTTTCTATGTTCTATATAAAATAATTTAAAGAGACAGATACACACAGGTATAAATGGATGCATGCCTTCTCAAAATCTTTTCTATGTTCTATATAAAATAATTTAAAGAGACAGATACACATGCCCCTATACATATTTTTAAATATAAATTAATATATCTAAGATTCAATTAAATGGCATAACTTGTGATCATTCATTATATACTACAGGTTGATTTGTTGTTAGCAAGCAGGACTTTGGTAGGAGACGAGACACTTAAAGTATAATCGTACAATATCATTTCTTTACTCTCTTCTTGATGACTAATGGGCACCTTTTATGTGCAGGAGACGAGAAAGATCACTTAAAAGTGACTCTTCTACGCGTTGACTCTTCATTACAAGGTGTTTTGTCTTGTTTACCTGATTTCAGGCCTTCCTCTGATACTGGAATGGTTAAAGAGGCAGGTCGTTCTCTTTTCGTGATTGCTGGGGCTACTGGGTCATGTGTTGGTAGCTCAGAATTACGTGAAAAAGCTGCTGATGTTATCCACGAAACTTGCAAGTAAATTGGTTGTCTTCAGTATTATTATTTTGTAGCGCTAATCAATTCCAATGGTTGTTTCTTTACATCAGTGAGTTACCGATGCAGATACTTATTGAAGGAGAAGTCTGATGATAGCATTTTGTTGCTACTTCTCATCCGGGTGATGGATACATTGGGAAATTATGGTGAGAATACTTAATAGAAATGATGCTCTTTCACACGGTATCTGATCTCATAATCTTTCCTTGGTATGATCTGCAGGAAGTTCAGAATATGAGGAGTGGTCTAACCACAGGCAGGCCTGGAAGCTGGAATCTACCGCCCTTGTAGAGCCTCCAATAAATTTTATTGTGTCATCTCACTCGAAAGGAAAAAGAAGGTGAATTTCCTATTATTTCTTTTATTTATTATTTTTTTTTTTTTTTGATGTGATCCATTACTCTGCGGCTAAAGGTGTTTTCATTATAGGCCTCGGTGGGCACTAATTGACAAATCTTATATGCATAACACTTGGAGGTCATCACAGTCGTCATACCATTTGTCCCGCGCAAGTGGGAACATATTTCCATCAGATCGTGTGATTTGTTTAATGGACGATCTTCTTGATTTGTGTTTACATAGTTATGAAACAGTTCGGAGGTGAGTTCATAATTTTTTCTTTTCTCAGTTTAATTTTGTAACGGATGTTTGACTCCCTGTGAACTAAGAACTTAATAGTCTAATGTCTACAATTGTAAGTTTTATCAGTTACATGGGTGTGCGTAGGTGGGCGTATACTTGTTTGGTTTCATATCTACACCGTGTGATGGAGCATGTCTTACGTACTTTTATCTTCATAAAGGTGTTTCCTTTGGGAAAGTATCTTGTTCTTTTTCTGTTATTGACTCATAGATTAATTAAGTATATTGCCCGAAGTTGCTGTATGCTTACTGTTTACAAATGATCTATCAGTGTGTATGATAGCCTTTATCTACTATATGTAGCATACACGAGGCTCAGAAATTATGAGTCTTCCTCTAATTTTCTGTTTGTGCATGTGGATGTATGTTTGCATGAACAGCAGCATTCATTGATGCCTTTAAAAAAAATTGAACTTTCCTTTATTGTGGTCAGATTTGGTTATACATATGGTGAATTGTTGTTTCCTCAGGCTTGCTGCAAAATCCATACTAAAGATGATGAAGAGATGGCCATCTACAATTTTGAAGTGTGTGGTAACTCTTTCTGAAAATCTTAGAAATCCAAGCTTGCCAGAGTATGCGGTGTTAGGTTCTTGTGCAGTACTTTCATCCCAAACAGTTCTCAAGCGTTTAACAACGGTACCACTCTGGGAAAATTACTATTTTGAAACATTTGAAGTGTGTTGTTTGTGTTCTACTGATACTGTTCTTGCCCCTTATATATAGGAAAGGAAGGCTCTTTCATCGTTCCTTATAGGAGTTCTATTCAGGTATTTTTTCATTATTATTAATAACATGGATATCTGTTATTGGATACTCTTTGAAATTGAGAAATTCAGTGATGAGTAGTGGCTTATCTCTACCTTTTGTTACTTGAAGCTCCCATCACGAATCAATAAAAGCTCAGAAAGCAATCACTGAGGTAAGCTACATGTTTCCCTGGTTTCATTTTAGTATTTACTTCAAGCTCTTGCCCTTTTATGGGAGAACTCCTTAGTGGTCTACTATAGATGACATTTGTCTGTGTGTTTAAATATATATGTGATGTCAACAGCTTTTTGTCAAGTATAATATCCATTTTTCTGGACTGTCAAGAAGCATCTTTGGAGCCCCAGGCAATCATACAGATGGGCCTAGTTTTGCAGATTTGGTTGCTCAAATTGGTTCAATGAGTTTTGAAAGTAGCAACTTGCACTGGAGGTACACCTTATCTCCTACTGCTCTGTAAATCAGTGTTCTAAAAAAGTTGTTAGACTTCTGCTAGGCACTAGACCAGTGGCTAGCACCTAGAGCGCGTAGGCGGGGCCTAGAAATGAAGCTTAAATTACCTTACTTTATTTTTCCCAATGAGATTACCCCAACTTAATCCACACCTCATTCCAGTGTTCAAAAGAAAACATGGTAGTCGGCATGACCACAACTTAGTAACGTGAAGCAAAAATATTCAAAAGGACTTATGAAGACATGATGAGTCTATTAGTTTAAAAAAAAATGAATAAGCAAAAACAGTAAGAAAAATTAACAACTAAGGAGTACTGCCAATCTCAAATGAATTCATCTTCTCCATTACTCTCCAATACATGCTCTTCATTCGACTCAAAGGCTTTTTCTTGCTGATTTCTTTTGAATTGGGGTAGTTTTGCAATGTCCTCATAAATAAGATTAATGTTGTGCTTGGCACATGAAGTCCAAAAGAAAATTGGCCTCTGCCTGCAATATCTATAGTTTTCATAAGCTTATGGATACCAGTGTAAAGTACCAAGAGGTCATAATTGTGCATCCATAATTGTGCATCTTAACTCACATATAGGACATTTTTGTGCATAGTTGTTACCTGACGTGCACCATTTTCAGGTACAATTTAATGGCTAATAGAGTTTTGCTGTTGCTGGCTATGGCATCTAGTAATGATCCTAATGTGTCCCCAAAAGTTGTGAGTGAGATCGCTGGTATGTTACTAGAAGTGTTAGATCATGTCATTTCTGCACGTGTTAAAATTACAACTGTTGTTTTAGAAGTTGTATGATGTATCTATTACGATGTATGCTTTAGCAAATAAAGAAAAATATATTGGCTTCTCATGCCTCAAGTGTGGAAATTTCAGGACACTTCTTGAAGAATTTGAAAAGCCAACTTCCACAAACCAGAATACTAGCAATCTCAGCTCTAAACACGCTTCTGAAAGAGTCACCATACAAATATACAGCAGAGAACTGTGCCAATGCCCATGGATATCTGGAAGGAGACACAAAGTCGTCTCTTGAAGGAGCCTTGAGTGATATTTTCCAGGAAGACGGCTTCTTTAGTGAGACTTTGAATAGCCTTTCTCATGTCCATATTATCACTGACATGGAGACTTCTCCTTCCAGAGGACATTATGGAAGTTCTACCATGCAGAGTTTTGCTGACAAATCAATAACGCGTTTCTACTTCGATTTTTCTGCTTCATGGCCTCGCACTCCTAGTTGGATATCATTATTTGGAAATGATACTTTTTATTCAAACTTTGCACGGATCTTTAAGAGATTAATCCAAGAATGTGGTATGCCTGTTTTGCTGGCTTTGAGGACTGCACTAGAGGAGTTTGTTGATGCTAAGGAGAGATCAAAACAATGTGTTGCTGCTGAAGCTTTTGCTGGGGTACTGCATTCTGATGTCTTCGGTGTTTCAGAAGCATGGGACAGCTGGATGGTGGGTCAGCTGCAGAATATCATCCATGCACCAACTGTGGAGTCTATTCCAGAGTGGGTCGCAAGTATTCGTTATGCAGTCACTGGGAAGGGAAAATCAGGAACTAGAGCTCCACTACTGAGACATAAAGTAATTGATTGCCTGATGAAACCTTTATCTCAAACAGTCACTTCTGCTGTAGTTTCCAAACGCTATACTTTTCTTTCGGCCGTTCTCATAGAGATATATCCTCCAAGAATGTCTAAGATTGAAATAGTGTTTCACTATAATCTTCTGGTGGAGTTGCTGAATAACATGAGTCACTCGTCCGCACAGGTAAGCGAACATATTTCATCAGTTGTGCTTTGAGAAAAATAACCGCTGTCTAGAACTCTCTGTTTGTCCTGTTTTATAGACTCAGTGGGACCAGTTTCCTTACCTGTCAACTGGTTTTCTCTTAGTTTGTGGTCAGATTTTGAGTTCCATAAGTTTGAGATAGCATATAAATACGAACAAGACTTGAGAAAGTATACAAACACTTTCTGGGATGGGCACTTTGTTATGGGGATGGGCAGTGCACAAACAAAATGTGTTTTGGCTTTCTGGGATGGTGTGTTTGAGTTATTGCCTTACTCGATGATAAAGTAGTGATGTTTTCTGTAGTTCCTCAGAGGTGATTTGTGTAACTCCGGTTGTCCATTGTAGGTGGTTTTTCTTCTCTCAGATTTTGAAAGTTTGTATGTTTGATTCTGAATTAGACTTGTTCTTCCTCACTATATTTTAGTTTTAGTTATGATCCAGTTTCCGAGGTCTTTCTTAGTCTTTCTGTTGGTACTAGCCCCCCGATCTCTCTGTAATTCAAAGTACTTAGAGTTTGTCCTCATCGTTCTATTTATTCTCCCCCTTTTTATCTGAATGTCTGTTAAATTCTTCGGTTTCCTATCTGGTAAATTCCAAGCCTGAGGAAATTTGTTGTTTTGTGGGATGTTTATCTTTGTAATAAACGGCCAGTGACTTCTTTCGGTTAATATTTTCTCATTTCTATGTTTTTTAAATTGTTGTGGTGAATTTGAAATAAGATATTTCTTGCAGAAGTCCAGTTCCAGTTCTTTCAATAGGAACATATCTGGTTATATCTTCTCCATTTCCTCACAAGTGTTTCTTCAATTTTCATCTTACTAATTCTTTTTTACAACAGGTGAGAGAAGCCATTGGTGTTACTCTTTCGGTATTATGCTCGAACCTGCGGCTTTGTGCGTCCTTTGGCAATGAGCACTTGAATGCAGGGGTACCCAGTGGGTCAGATGTAAAAGCTGCAGGATGGGATCAATATCTGGTGCAACGGGCCACTGAACTGGTTAGGAAGATACAAAATGTCAGTGCATCAGAAACTTTAGACATGTCAACTGATAATATAACTCAGAACGGGATGTCAACTGGCAATACTAAAGATGATATCAGATGGATGGAGACGGTATTTTTATTTTGTCCTCTGAGTTATAGAAAATTGCATGTACTTATTCAGTGTTGTTTGGCTTCCAGATATTGATTATGTTGTTCTACTTGTACAGTTGTTTCACTTTATCATATCAACTTTGAAGTCTGGAAGGTCGCCGGTTATGCAAGATGTTATTGTAGAACTTCTTTACCCTGTGATATCATTACAGGTAATCATACTTCTACGCTGCTGGCCGTGATCGATCATTCTTATGTCCCAGAACAATTTGATCTTATGTCAAGAATAGTGATCTGTGATCTGAGCCATATAACGTTTTCCTGTTATTGCTAAGAGAAATGGAACGTCTTAGGGAAAGATTGCAATAAATTTGCAATGTATTGTTTCATTTGCTCTAATGTTGGCTACAATGTTTTGTCTGCTGTAAAGCCTATAATGATGTTTATGCTGCTACAATGATTTTCTCAAGCCCTAGGTCCAAACTCACGATTAATTTTTTTATTTCCAAAGGAAACATCAAATAAAGATCTGTCGAATCTGGCTAAGGCTGCATTTGAATTGCTAAAATGGAGGGTGTCTGGGGAATCTCATCTACAGAAAGCTGTGCCTATTATTCTTTCTTTGGCCAGTGATGCCAATTGGAGAACTCGATCCGCAACTTTAACATTTTTGCGAAGTTTTATGTACAGGTAAGCTAATTTTGGAGGTGCCTATTTCTAAGGTGCGGTATTATCTATATTCTTGTCATAGTATTGCCCAGTCCTAAATAGTGAGTTCTGTAGCCCTACAAGTATGATACAGCTTTCAAAGTTTTAAGCACAAGAATATGTCAGCTCGTCAGTTATTTACTATTTAGTGCAAACTATGATTATGTTGGCATGCAGCATTAAATATTTATTCTTTATGCAGTATATGTAGGCAAACAATACTGTACCAACGTTAATCCTAGTCATTATGCATATCCTGTGTCTACCAATGATCGATAATATCATTACCGTTTACATTTTGGAAAGTTAATATTTATTACACCCTTTGCTTTTCTCTGATACTGATGCTGCTGAAACAGAGTGCTTGATAGTGCTTGGCATCTATTTACAGGCATGCTTTTATTCTCTCTAACATGGATAAACTGCAAATTTGGCAAGCTGTAGAGAAGCTTCTCACGGACAATCAACTAGAGGCAAGTTTTGACAGTTAATGGGGCCTTAGGCAGCGATTTAATGATTTTCAGTTGCCTGTGATACGAAATGTGCTAACAACTGCATGTTGTCGACACTACCAAATTTTAACCAGATGGAAATTTCCTCTATTTTTTAAGGATTATTCTCCCTTTTTCCATTTGTGATTTCTGGCGAAAAGTATTTATCACGATCTATTGATACAGGTAAGGGAGCATGCTGCTGCAGTTTTAGCCGGACTGATGAAGAGTGGGGACCAAGGTTTAGTTGAAGGTTTTCGCCAAAGGGCTTATGAACAAGCGAGTGCTATACTTAAGAAAAGGAAGAACAGGTAATTAGCTTGAGTTTTCATCTATGTTGCGGGTATGTGCCTTTTTTCCCTTGGGAATTAACTATAAACATCCTGTTTTCACGACGTAAGTGTTAAAGTTATAGATTCGGGGGAAGAGGGTGTGATCTCATAGAGGTGAAGCACACTATAAGAGAGTGAGCCTAGGTGCACCTTAGTGAGGTTCCATCCACAATTGGTGGTGGGAGGAGTAAGCAGCCCACTAGGTTTATAAACTAGATCTATTTATCCTATTGAATCAATGTGGGACAACTCACACAAGTAAAATCCGACACGCACCCTCACTTGTGAGTCCTTCATAGGCCACTTGTAGATTAAATCATCACAGGTCCTAGATCAGGCCTGCTCTGATATCATGTTAAAGTTATAGATTCGGGGGAAAAGGGCACGATCATAGAGTTGCACACCATAAGAGGGTGAGCCTAGGTGCATCTTAGTGAAGTTCCATTCCAAAACCAACCAATTGGTGATGAGAGGAATAGTCCACTAGGCCTATTTACCCTATAGAATCAAGGTGGACAACTCACAACTGATATTCGAAATTCGAACAGTAAGAATACACTAGTAAGAATACACTGACAACTCGGTTAGACTGAGTTTGTCAAAAAACCATACTATAAAGTTGTGATTGTTGTATTTCTATAACTCCAGTTTTATGCAAAATTGAATATCTTAATTTTAATGGTATCTGGACATACGTAAATTGTGCCCTTAACTAACTCACTCGAAGAATAAGTGGAGACTAAATGCAGAGAATCTAACTTAGTTGCCAAGGCATTTAAATGAGTTAGATGGTCTTCATCTTTGTCACTTATTTATCTGATCTTTAAACATATTTCGTTTGGAGTTGTGTCATAAAAGAAAGAATAAAGTTCACAATTTACTTGAGAACTCAAAGCCACTGAATATCGAGGTTTCATTTCTTCTGCTGGAAATTTTATATCATGTGCTTAAGTTTAAGTTTAAGATTGTTATATTGACAGTTTTATACATATACAGCTCATTCTTCCATGTCCTAATTATTGGAGATCATTAGTGTCATCATAGTCTGATTGTTTTGAACTTAGATCCATGCTCTGTTCAGATACCTTTTGTGTCTTAGTGTTATATATTAACACATTTGCGAGAATTACAGAAAAGTGGTTTCTACTTTGCCCGTGGCATCTCTGCATGGCTCGATACTTGCTTTGGCAGCTTGTGTGCTGTCAGTTCCTTATGATATGCCCAGGTATTTTCAGCATTTTAAAATTTTCATTCGTATTGAAATATTGTTTGCCACCATTAATCTTGTCCAATAATCCCTTTTAAGTACCTTAATATGTTTAGTTATTTATGATGAGAAACAAAAGTAGTTGTATACTGTCGTCTACAGTAACAGTATATACTAATTTGTATATTTCATTTAACATGCATTTTTATAGTTCCCATTTGGGTAAAGTATTATTTGCAACCTGAACTATTTGCATATTTGGGATTTGCAACCTGTACAAGTTTTTGTAATAAGTTGCATCCTGTATTGCACAAAATGTCTATATCGCAAACCTCCGACCACTGGCGGTGCAAATTTTACCGGATGAATGAGCGTGCAAATACCAGGCGTCCAAAATGTCTATATCGCAATCCACATGAGTCGACCAGAAAGGAGACGACGAGGCTTTTTCCGGCGGGCCTTGTATTTTAAATGCTGCTGAAATTCGCAAGGTGCTGTTTTGGGCATGGCCGCGATAGAACTGGAAGAAGTAGCCGGAAGACTGGGCGGCGTGGTCGACTTAATCGGCGAGGAGAGAGTTTAGTTTATTAAACTGATTTTGCAACCCTAGACTCCGCCGACAAACAAGATGTGGGAGAAACTTGAGCTGATTTTTAAATTCAAAAATCAGCTGTTGTGGATTCTAATAGAACTTGAAGTGGCGTTTTTGCCCTCCAAATTGGTATGTGCATCTCGCACGCTCGTTTTTCTGGTAAAATTTGGACTGCCGTCTGCCGGTGGCAAGAGATTGCGAGGCAGACATCTTGTGTATAACATGATGCAACTTATTACTAAAAAAAAAAAAATTACAGGTTGCAAATATTGCATTCCCCATTTTTTGAGTTCTCATGAAATTGAATTCTTGATTTTGATTTAACTACAAGATAAATCACACTCCTCACATCATCTTCCCCATTTTTTGAGTTCTCATGAAATTGAATTCATGATTTTGATTTTGAGTTCCCATTTTTTTTTTTTTTTTT